TTCATCCCCCTCACAGGGCCCTTCATCCCCTCACAGAGCCTTCATCCCCCTCACAGGGCCCTTCATCCTCCTCACAGAGCCTTCATCCTCCTCACAGGGCCCTTCATCTTCCTCACAGGGCCCTTCATCCCCTCACAGAGCCTTCATCCTCCTCACAGAGCCCTTCATCCTCCTCACAGGGCCCTTCATCCCCCTCACTGGGCCCTTCATCCCCCTCACAGGGCCCTTCATCCCCTCACAGAGCTCCCTCTGTCACGACTCTGCTGCCAGTGCCAGGCACCTGTGCCATGTACATTTGGTAACTATCTAATGTTAATTTATTTTTGCTTGGAATGTTTTCTAAATTTTTTTAACCTCAGGATGTGTAGGAACCTCAGTTGATCAGGGTTGAGTGGTGTTCCAAGCTAAGATTTCCAGTCTTGTTATTTAAGAAACTGAATGGCTGGACAATTGAAAAGAAATTTGTCTGACCTTAATAATAGCATGCTTTGCATTACTTTGCTATTACTATTTGCATTACTATTACTTTGCACAGGTTTCTCTTGTATTTTAAAAATATCTTTAAAGAAGTTTACTTGTGGATGAGTACAGGCTAAAGCTGGGAATGACCTTGATGGGCAGCACTGAGTGGGAGTCACATCCTGAGGGGTTTCTTGTTATCTTAGGAATTAGTTGTGGAAGAACATTTTCTTGGTTTGTATTTCCTGGATTTGCCATATTCAAGAAGTGAGGGAATGTTTGTGAAATATGCCAAGAACAAAAAGCTAGGAGAATCTGTGATGGTAGCAGTGGGAAAGGGATATTTGCATTCCCATTTCAAGAACCCAGATGGACTTAAAAAGTGAATGGAATATCACAGAGTTTAAGGTTAAAAAGTGCATAGTAATGGATTTGGTAACTCTACACACCAGCTGAAAAACCTGTGGAATGTTAAATATACCAACATATTCTATAGTCAGAGCCACTGATATTAAGCAAATCAAAGAGACACAGAAAACATTAATGTTGTTTTTTCTGGTAAAGTTGGGAATAATTTAATGCAAAGTGTTGGTGAGATGTCATGCTCAACAGTACATGTAGTTTTGATTGCTTATGAACAAGACGAGGTCTTTGATTTTACAGAGAACTCAGCATGATGTGCACATAGAGGTTTTGGGACTCTGCTGAGGGCTCAGAACATTGGCTAGTGTGGATGAAGTATCAAAGAAAGTGATAAATTCTAATTCAGAAGGTCCCAGTCAGGCTTTCATCAGGAAGAGCATTGGCTAAGGGTGAGGAAACCTGAAACAGTTTTTGGGCTAGGGAGTATTAACTTCACACATTTACAGGTTTGGGAAGACACAGTCCAGTTCCCCACAGAAAGCCTAGGTTTTCTTTCTAGCGCTTAAATTAATTATTTGAGGGATTATTATAATCTCCTATTCTTGTGCTTAATTTCTACTTATTTTTTGTTATGTTTTGTAATCTTTTTGGCTACTCTCTTTAAACAAACAATCCTAAAACCCATTTGATATGTTAATATACGTTGCTTAGGACCATATAATCTATTTCCTCCCAAATTCTTCGTTGAGGGAACATAAAAGGTGAATCTTGACCCTTTCTAGATTCACAGAAGTGGCTTCAGAACACAGTGAAGACAGGATTTCACTTATTGGTGTTTCAGATGTTTGGAGAAAACATCTGGGCTATTCCATCTGTGTCATGGACAGTAATGAATCTTCTCTCAATGACATGACTCATGTTTGCTCTTTAGATTTTTGAAGATCAACCATGAGAACTGATTCATCCATGATTCATGAGCCTGAGCATTTAGCCATTTTTCTTCATGAATGCTTTTTTTCACAAGACTGAATTTGGTGATAGCAATTACTGAATTTATCTCTGCCGGAATGTCAAGCCCCTCAGCAGAAGTGATAAAAGCTTATAGAAATGTTTTGGTTTCTTTTTTTTTTTTTACAAAACCTGATACATAAACACAGGTTTTTGCTATGGTATTTTTAAAGGGGCATATTATATAAATGCTATAGTTAGAGCTTTGTGGAATAGTAGAAGAAAGGTAAATTCATTTTAGTTTATTTTACAGAGATGTGATATTTACTGTGTTAATGGAAACATTTTTCAGAAGCATGATGTGGTCATGCTGTCCAGTAATCTGTAAAGGGCTGTCCAGTAATCTGTTAATTCTTCATTAACATAGATAGATTCAAGGATTAGTAATTATAACTCTGAAATAATATCTGGAGTTTTTAGAAGAGATCCTGGAGTTGCTGCCACTTTCCTAGGGTGCTTTAGTTACCACAGAAATGAGAAAGCAAAGCAGAGCATACCTGAGCCCTGAAGAGAGGTTATCACTTGTCTCCTTTGCTCTGCTCACCTCAGTCTTGTAGGTCCCCCCCACCTCTGTCAGATCTCTCGAGTACCTTTCATTTTAAAGGGGTCTTAAGAGAGGAAACATTTAGCTTTAGGCACTTCCACCTCTCCTTATATGTGGCAGGTTTCCTTAGGCCCAGATTATCTTCCCTCACAACAGCTTTCAAATTGTAGTATGAAAATATGACTAAACCAAAGTTTCCCCCTCAGGTGCTTAGTCACACACACGTGGAACGAGGACAGGATAATTCTGCTCTATTAAGACGTGGGTAACTGCCACCAGATAAATTACTTCTTAGCAGTTCTGCGAGGTGTGTAGGGAATGAGGGAGATGGATGCAGGCCAGCTGCTTCTCTCGCTGAGTACAGCTACAAACGGACAGAACTGCAGGCAGGCAGGAGATGCTGCACTGCTGCCCTGAGTCCGGGAATCAGAGGAGAGGGGCTCGTGTGTGTACCCAGAGCAACTGCGAGGCTTCCACACGAGCAAGAGGCACCAGCCCCCAAACTGAAAGGGCTCACAGCCGTGCTGGAAGGGCCTTTTTGTGCAGGAGTTGGATGATTCCTTGCTGCCTGAAATGATATTTATTTTAATATGAAACCAGCTAAAGACTGGAAGATGTCCTTGATCCAGTCTCCCTACTCCAAATAACATGAAGATTGAAGGGAACCTAGTTTTTGATGTTTTCCCCTTGCTCCTTACATATATTCTTTGTTGGGAAGAAGTTTATTTTCTTCCTCACATGTTGTTAGGGTGAGATTTATTTTGTTTAATTTGAAACACTTATGTTCGAGTTGCTTGTCTTGATCACCTTATCATCAGTGGAGAGAAAACAAAATTTATAAAATTTAAACTGTCTGACCAGTTTTGGACACTGACCTTAGTATGACATATCTTGTACATTAAGATTTTCTGCATTGCATATGTCTCTGATTTAGATTAGATGAATCTCACCCTTAGTACTAATTTATTGAGCTTTTCCCAATAAGGGAAATGGCCAAAGAGGCTTCCAGTAAATCAGAAAAGTTTAACCAGAAGAATATTAAGAGAATCAGGTTTAAGGCAACAGTCTATTTAAGGCAAAGAACAGGTGGTGGTTAACTGTTCACTGTTCTTCCATATGCAGTATGGAAAGATTTGAAAGTTCCAGAACTAAATAGACAAATTTATCTGGAGGTTTTGTTAGACTGGACTGAGGCTGTATAGGAAAGTTGAATTCTCTGTGGAGTAGATGCATGTGAAAAGTAGTAGAGTTTAATTTATTTATATAGCTCTGGTGTTTCAAGGGAAGGACTTGATCTGTTTGCCTAGAAAGATTGCTGAATCTGTTTTTAATAGAGAGAAATTTTTATTCTGTTGATCCTAGGGGTGCAAGTTTATAAGCTAGCAAAGCACAGTGTTTCCCCAGGAATGGGGGTATTGTTTAGACAGACACACCATGCCTGAAACTTTTCCAATAAGGATCTGAGCAGACCAAAGAGAAAAGCTTTGGGTTTGTTTTTTTTTTAGAGAGAGCAATAGAGAATGGTTTTAATTTCTCTCCGGCAACAGAAGGGAGCAGATATTCTTATGGGGTTCTTTACTTCTGCATTGAAAATCTCTTAAAATTGCCATTGTGAGCCAATGTACATTCTTGTCAAGTTGACTTGCAGTGTGATGAGGTATTGGAGTAAAGGCTGGATATATCCATCTGCATAAGCATGTTTTCAGCTGTATTTACTGCATTGCTTTTCTCTGCTGTGGCCCTAATCTACCAATTTTGTTTGGGGTATCCTTTATTTGATTTTATGCTTTTTACATTTCTAGGTGTTTTTGCAAATACATAGCTTGATGCTAAGTTTTTCAAATTTCATATTTTATGAAGTGAAAAAGCTACTTTTTAATTATATCACAACAAAGCTGTATTTTCATTACTTTGTCAAGGTGTTGCATTACAAGCATGTAATTTGTGAACTCAAATGCACTTGAATTGAAAGTGATTTTTCATCTAGGATGCCTGATTTTCTGGGGTGTATAGAGTATTTAGTGATTATCCACTGAAGTTACTTTCAGTAAGAAAACCCTTATATGTTCTTCTGTATTCTGGCTTTTGTAAAAAATTCTGTGGTCCCCTTGGTGTCTTTGTGCTTGCGAATAGGAAAAGGTTGGAAAACAATGTCTTAATATTAGAAATTCATCATAGTTGTGCAGAATTATTTGAGTGAGAGCAGACCTAGACAATCCAGTAATTTCAGTAAAGAGGAGTATGAGAACATTCCCAGTTCTGATACAATGATATCTTTCTGCAGTATTACCTGGTTTTCTTGGTGATACAACAAATTTGTGAAGTATTCCTGATCTATAGAGCAAAATGCAAAATAACCCCCACACAAGGAGGAAGGTGTGTGTAGATCTTGGCTTGCTGGACAGTCTCAGTTTCTCTAGAGCAGATCACTAATGCTGCCGTTGATGTTTGAGGCTCTATAAAATATGGAATAGGTCTGGTTTTCACCTTCCCTTTGCACAAGTTGTAGAGCAACTGAACTCCTTTCACTTCAAGGAAATTATTTTGGATTTAAAGAAGTCTATGATTCTAACTTGACTTGAGCCATCCTTGAGTAATCTAGGACATTATTAATTGTAAATGAAAATTTACAGAGATCTGGTGCACTGGTAGTCTTGCACAGTAAAAATAAAGCCCATCAGTAACAGTTATGGTTTTCTATGTGAGCTTCTCTTGGGCAAGATCTAATGCCTCAAAAGATCAACTGCAATCTGAATTTCTTCAAGCAGCCATGTCTCTTTGGAAGGCAGGGAAGTACCTGTGCCTCTGGCTGGGAAGGGTGGTGAAAATTGGGGGATTCTTTTTTCTTATCATGATTTAAATCTGAAATGGCAACAAATGAGAAATTATTGTTTGGGCTTCTCTGCTGACAAGAGTTGAGCACTGTCAAAGCTTTTCCTTTGTACAAGAGAAAATATTTTTGTAACTGGAAAAGTCACAAATGTCTTCAGATCAAAGGGTTTGGGCCTCACAGTCAGCATGAATCCTTTTTATTAATAGTTGCCTAAGCCCCTTGTCTTGGGGTGTGACTGAGAGTGTGGTGGAAGCTGTGTGGAAACTTGTGCAACTGTGCTAATGATGAGACAGCTGGACTGGACTCCACATTGCTCTTGGGGCCTTGAGAGCAGCTACAAAGAGTAAAAGAAGTTCTTGGTAGTGAATACACTGTGGGATTGATGACTTGAGCTGTTTAATGTGCTGGTTAATATAGCCAGTTTTGAAGTGTAACATGTTTTCAAATGAAAATGAATTTAAAGAATTCCAGTCAATAAATGACATTGCAGCCAATGAAAAGAGAAGGCCTTTTGCCAGGGCTAACAATGCTTGGTTCCTTGGTTTGCAGAATAAATGGGGAAAGCCTTTTAATGCTGACTTTTTTGTTGTTTATTTATTTATTTATTTATTTTTTGCTCAGGACTAAGTATTTAATTGGTCAGTTACTTGCTGATTTCAAATCATTTGAATTTATTTAATGTTTTTCCCCCCTAGGGATTCTACAAATGAAACTACTGCACATTCAGATGCTGGCAGTGAGCTTGAAGAAGCAGAAGTCAAAGGAAAAAGAAAAAGGGGCCGTCCCGGCAGGCCTCCAGTATGTGTAATTTATTTTGGTTTTGTTATGCATCTATTTAATTTATTTTTGTTTTGTTATGCATCTATTTGTAATTGACTGCAGACTCTTTTTCATCTGATCATCTTGTGGTCACATAAATAGGCTTTTAATGAGTCCTATGTCAGATTTTATGAAGACTTCTAGTATGAAATATTTATCAAATTGATGTGCAAACAGTGTTTGGAGTGTTTAAAAAAGGACATTAAAATGTTCTCATAATAACTATTAATTTTTCTTTTGTTAGCTGCTTTCATGAACAATACGGTTTTGTTATTATTGTCATTACAACATTCTTCCAGATATGAGAATAACCTCAGTAAGTACAACCACTTTCTTCTTGAAAGTTGTAATGGACTTTAAGTGACAAATGACATTTAAGCCATCCTTTTATTACTGATAATCTCTTCATGTGAGTGGAAGAATTGTAGCATGATATTTCCTCGATTCCTGAGAAAATCTATTAACACATTTAAGAGTCGTGATTGACATACACTGCATTCTACTTACAGACTGGGAGCTTCAGTGTATCCCCTGGCACAGGGCAGCAGGTGATAGGGCTTTGTCTCTGCTGGCCTATTAGGAGGAACATACAGAAACAGTTCTCTCTTACATGAGGTATTAGGGAGGCTTTCTCTTTTATTTTCATTTGTTCTATAAAATAGCCAATTCGTTGGAAAATAAAGGGAAAGTTGTGTGTCATGTTGTCCTTCATCTTGGTTCTTGAAGATGATCAGTTTAGTTCCTGTGGCTGTATCACTTGAAGTACACAGTGTGGAGTAAGACTTGGTGTGAACTGTGTGTTTGTTATTGAGTGTGAATATGCCATATATCTATATAGCACTAGTAGATGGAGATGATTTTTTTTTTTCAACCCTGAGGGCTTTGATCCTAAGGCTTATATCAAGCCATGGGCTTGGTGAGGCTGTAAAAATGGACAGATCCATGTGTTATTCTCAGGCATGCTGGACAAGCTGGAACAAACTCCTCTTTACTGTTGCTTTTCAATTTGCATCACGATCTCTGGACTTAGTCAAGGTGCCAGCATTTTAAATCCTGGTCTTTTCTGGGCATATTGTCTTCCTTTATGAAAGCTCTTGAACACTTTTGTATGATGTATATATTCTTCATCAGATAAATGCATTTGCTCATGAACATGAAGCCTCTTCAGGGCAAGCCTTTAAGAAGTGTTTGAAGAGAACAGCTTATCTGTTTACATAGCTTGTAAGCAAAGATAAAATGAAAAATTATCTTAGGAATATTTCATTAGGAAATCTGTGGGGTTTTGTAGCTCTAATAAAAAAACCAGGCTGGTGCAACCTGATTGCTAACTCAGAATGTTGTCACAATATAGGAATTCAAGTTATAGCAACACTAGGGGCATTTTGTACCCAGCACACGCTCACTGGAAGGGAAAGGTGAATGTTACAAAAAGCATTTCTCATTCCTCTGCTTCAGTTTATTAGTGGCTCCTATGGGAACAGTTGCTGAAGCACTCTGCTGGTCCTGCTATCAGGTTTCTAGGGGAGGAATTGCTCATTTTGCTTAGAACAGCTCCAGGCTCATTAGGTGTGTGTGATTGTCAAGTGATGAACAAGTCAGAGGAAGCAGCCATTGCTTCATTCACAAAGTGATAGACTGTGAGCTGACTGCTGCTGCCAAGGAGCAAGACCTTAGGGGTATCAGGGGCAATTCTGTGGAAGCTCATCTTAATGCTTAAGAGGAGTCAAAAAACCTCAAATCCAGTCTTAAAACTTAGAGGAAGAAAATAAAAAATGAAACAAATACAGTGTCCCTTATAAAACTGTAGTTTGTCAAAATTTGGAAGAATTTGCTCAGTTCTGCTTTTTCTTTCCCTTTTGAGCTCCATCCCAAAATCTCAGGAAAGTGTATATAAGGACTGGAAGAGTTTCAGAGAGGAAAAACAATATGGTCGTTTATGGAATAGGACTCAGCAGATCCTATTGCAACCTCCTAGTCAGAGTAGTGTCAGCTTTGGGATCAGACCACATTGCTCATGGATTTTCCAGTTTGATTTTGAAAACTACCAAGGCTGGAGACTGCATAGCCTCTCTTAGTGCCTGTCCCATTTTACTTCATGATAAATTTCTCCCTTGGTTCTTCTACTATAAAAAAAAAATCTCCAAAAGCAAAAAGCCACTCAACATCTGGTGTCTGGAGGGAGGAGAAATGCAAAAACCTTGGAAAGGCTAATCTAGGCAATTGAATTTATAGCATTATTGGATGTTAAAAGCCAGGGACTTGGTAATTGTATTGTTTAGCAAACCATGTTGCTAACCCAGCCATTTCCCTGGGGCAAATTACCTGGTTCTTACAGGAGGTGCAGCTCTGACATTGCCCTCCCAACTCTTCACTACTGTGGGTTTTGTTTCCTTCACAGGTACCACCTACCTTTACTATCAGATGTGAAACAGATTAAAAGGTTTTGTTAATTTCAGAAATGTTTTTCTTAACTGAGATTTAGCTTAGATGATTTTCATTTCTGTTACAGACCTGAAGAATGGTAGCCCAAAAGCTCTTCTGATTTCTGTGGCTGGAATTTTTTTCCTAACTAAAATATTATGGTCTAATAAGATTTAATCTCTTCCTGCAAATGCTGATTTTCTGATGTCCTTAGGCCATCACAGCTACCATAGCACATCTGCCATAAACATACTGACCTCTTTTGGGAAAGGACTTTACTTTGCGCTGCATGATCCTATTACAGAACTGCATAGAATATATTCTATTAAATATATGTATGTATTTTAAACAGGTTTCTGCTGAGTGTCACAGAATGGACGTGACCTTTTATCAGAAAGATACACTACTACAAGAGGATTTTCCAGATTGTTTTCCAAAGAAAGATATTCTCTGCAGATTTGAGACCTTTGTAAGAAGATGGAGCTCATTTGAAAAACTCTTTTATAGCAAATAACTCTTCAGTTCGTAGAGAACCATAATGCATTGGGGGTACCTTCACTTTCTAAAAAACTTGAAACTAGTTGATCTTTAAAGATTTCCTTTCAATCCAAGTAATTTTGTTCTAAAACACTGCTGTTCAAGTAGCCCCTTCACTTACATACACTATTCTAATGAGTACTTGATTGAGTAGGCTAGACAGTCAATTTGCAAATTAAGTGTATTGGTCTTATAGAACAGCTCTCAGAATCTAACCTGACTGTCCTGAATTCCCCAGCCCTTGCTGAGTTTAGCAGGGGCTGTGCCATGTCCTGCTCTAGTGGCTGGGGCTGGCCATTGGCCATGTACCCTTCTAAGCACTTGAGTCTTGTAGAGCAGATGCCCATGGAGTGAAGAGTCTGTCCAGCCAGTGGGGTGTTGTGGTGCATGTGTTTGTGATACTGTGTGTGAGGATATCATCTGGGTATGTATTTAATGAATTCTGGGGCTTCTGTCTAAGGAGTGACTTCTAACAGTCCTCTCCTTGAAGTTCCTGAGTAGTACTGGCCAAAATGCCCTCTCTGTCTGCTGCATTATTGAAATACATGGGTATGGATGTGCTCTCCTGTTCTACGTAGGAGATTTGAAAGCCCAAGGGCTTATGATGCAGTGTAGCATTCACATCAGTGAGCTCAGGCTCAGATGAGTTATTTACCCATCCTTTTTTGTCTCCTCTTCTGGATCAACACTCTCTTCAGCATTGTTGGCATGCTTTATTTTAAACTACCTGGCCTCACCTTCCTAGGAGCTCAGAATAGCTTGGCTTAAACCTCAGCTGCTGGAGATTGAGGCAGTGAGAGAGAGATCCCTGGCTGTGTTTCAGATTTGAAGTAGGAGTAGACAGATTTAATCTTTAATTCAGAGGACAGGGAGAAGCATCAGTTTGTCTGTTCCAGAGGTAGCAATTTGGAGGTCTCTGCTGGTTTCTCTCTCATCCCATACTCAGAGCCACAGCGTATCTTTCTCCACTTGAAGCAAGATGAAACAAGGCACTTCTGATGCTTTTGTCCCCAGCAAAGCCTGTACAATTTTGCTTTCAGGTCCTTTTGTAGTTTTTGGTGTGGAGGAGACAGACCACAATGCCTTATCTTTGCATTCATATGGGAAATTTTAACTTTGCAGCAGATTCCTGGCCTTATTTAATCTTGCAGTATAGATGTTAGATACAGCAGGGGATTGAGTTTTGCTTCTAGTTCCAAGTCATACGTGTCCTGATTAATAACAGGGAGGAATCCTCTTAGAAGAATTTCTCTTCATAGGAGTGGAGGTTTGTGGTTGGTGTGATTTACATCAGTGTCCTGTTTCAGCTTGCCTGCCTGATGGTTTAGGTCTGTCCCTTACAACTGAAGGGAGTCTGTAGTTCAGTAGAAATGCAGTGCATCTATAGCATCTTTGTGTAGAGTTTTCTATCCTGTTACATGTAGCATTAAAAGTTTTCCTTTTAAGCTTTTAATGGGATGGTTCCTGTATTTTTGGCAATCTAATCTCTTCTTTGTTTTTCTGTGAAAATAGTCTTTTTTTGGTAGTAAATGCCTCAGCTGGAAGAATTGAAATTATTCAAGCATTTATAGCATACTCTCTTGATTCTTTAAGATGACTTCTAGAGCTCTTGATAGACTTTTAAAGAAGGGTGAAAAATAGCACCACCACTCCCACCACTGCCTCTGCTTTTTCTTTTTTTTTTGGTCCTAAACTGCAAGTGCTGCAGCTGAAGCAGCTCTGGATGCACTGGGTGTTAGGGGACCTGCACCTGTCTTTATTTGTAGTATGAGATTTTTCACAGGGAGTATTTTGTTTGTTCCTGTGACCAAAACAGTCCACAGGACGGTTGGAATCCAAGAACCTTCTCCCTAGATTACCACGATGATGGTATGAAATGTGTTGTATTCTTTTTATAATCAGGATTAATTCACAAAAACCTCAGGCATTACCATTCTTCCACTTATCACAAGCTTATAATACAGGGCCTCTTGAGGGGCTGGTGCCTTGGAGAGTCAAGTCCTTCAGTCTTACTCAAGTGGAAGTTAAAAAGCTTCTTCCAGCTTCCCTGGGAAATGGGATATCTGTTCCTCTAAATGACTCAGTGCAAATGCACATACAGGTCATTGTTTTCAGGTGCTGTGTTAGGTCGAGTTACTGACTCTAGGACTTCCACTGCCTTTATTTTTTCATGGAGTGCATCAGCTTGGGGAAAGTTAATGGAAAATGTCAAGCCTCTTTCATTTTTTTTCTGGTAGCGTGTGAATTAATTTTCACTGTATTACTTGATTTTACAAATGTGGATCACTTTATTTTCTTCACAGTAATTTAAAGACATGAAAGGAAAAGTATTATGTAGCTAATTTCTTACAAAATCCTAAACTGTCATCATTTTAGTTTAATTGTGGTCAAGGTGAGTATTTTGTTTCTTCTTTGCATTTGTTTAAGCCTTAAAGCAACAGGTAAGGTATGTGACAATCAGTATGGCCATTTTTCCTTGTTGCTTCTGTGGCATATTCTGGAACTTCTGAATTTCCTAATGCTGGTGTATATAAACCCTCAATTTTGTTGTCACAAATTTGAAAAATCATCAGTAATTTCTGTTTTAATTTGGCACTTCAGTCCATTTTGACCAGCCCAGCTGTCCTGAGTTTTGGAGTAAAATCACAAACGCAACTGCTGCAGCCTCTCAGCTCCATGCAGCATCTTTCTTGGTGTGTGATTAAAAAGCCTCAAGCATTCTTACCTTTATCCCTCCCTTTGGCAGTCCTAGTTCACCCACTTCAGGGCTGAAAGCTGGAAGATGGTGTGTAATAATCACAATTTTTGCTCCTGTTAGGAGAGGTTAGAGGTTCTGTTTTTCTTGAGTCTTGATGAGCATTTGGTGGATCCATGGGAGCAGACCTGCTACAAATTCACTCTGATCTTATGAAATATCTCATTTTACAGCTGTCAGTGATAGTCTGACAGGTTTACTGGGGCCATACCCATCCTTGAGCAGGGCTGTTTCTGTGTGGAAGCTCTTCATGGCGTTAGAGAAGAGACTATTTTTTTTTTCCCAGAAGGATTACCCTTTCATGTGAGTGCATGTGTCTCGTTTCTGGGATGCACACTTACTTGTGCCTGGCGTCCTCAAAGCCAAACATAATTTTTGGATTTATAGCTTTTGCAGCTCCACTTCCAAAGGCACCCTGCCTTAGGAGATATGCCACAGCTGCTCTATATCATGAATGAGTCTTCTCTGTTTCTACAGATGTACCAGTCCTGCCTTTTCCTTCACTTGCTCCAGTGGTGGTGGAGGATGTCTCCATCCTGGGATAGAGTCATAGAATACCAGGTTGGAAGGGAGCTCACAGGTTCAACATTGTCTGGCAACAGCACAATCTCAAAAAAGATGCCCTAGTAACCTGCCCAGCTGAATCTGAATTGTCCAGTGTAGAGGAACTCCCAAATTCCCTGGAGAGGTTATTCCAGTGGCTGATTGATGTCGTTGAAGTCGGATCACCTGCTGAACTTTGTGCTCAGAGGCAGGAACCTGTATGAAACTCAAACCTGTCAACATGGCCTGCAAATTCAGAGACATGTGCAAATAATGTTGGACAACTTGCATTGTAATATTGTGTGTTAATGACTAAGGGAATGTCATGTGCTTTGTGCTTGCAAAACTTTAGAGCACCAGATAATTGCTGGTGAATCTATATATGACTTTCTTTTATATTCACACTCTGGAGTGAGATTGAGCTTGGGCTTCCTGCCAGATGCCTGCTGGGTGGGAGAGGGGTGGATGCCCTTTGGCCTAGTGCCTTTCCACCTGAAGACAATGTTAATCCTTGCCTAGCTCAGGTAGTTCACATTTTGGATTTTCTTCAGTCTCAAGTGGAGCATTTTGTCTACTTGTTTTGTCTCTGGAGGCAAGATTCAATACAGATCCTGCATCTGGATTTTGCTACCTCAGCTTGGATACAACAATGGCTTTTGTTAGATGCAAGATTTTTCTCCACTCTGAGGGGTGTTCTCATTTTCAAAACAAAATCTACACCAGAGAGAGATCTTATTGAAGTAGTCTCAGAAATATATCTGGTGTTAATTCAGGGCCACAGTGTTGAGGTATTTACTTGTACTTGAATCTGCTTTATCCAGTAATTTCTCAGAAGTACATGTGTCATTTATTTCTGTACCTCTTCTGAGGGCTCAGTGGTGATCTTGCCCTTCCAGTTCAGACTAGGAGCCTTGGTTAAAACACCTCTCTTTTCCCAGGATACCTGACAAAGGGAATTTAAACTGAGCATTTACATGCCTGGTTTTGAGCCTGTGTCTGTAGTACTCACAGGTGGCTTTTCTCATTGCTTTCATTAACAAGGTGGCTTTGGATATGTGCATTTCAAATCCATCTCTTACTTCCTTTCCCTTCATCCCTGCAGCGTTTAATGCCTCTCTTTCAATTACATGTTGACAAAAACTGAGTGTAAATGGGGCTTGCATTAGTTTCTGTGGAGGGCATCAGTTTGCATTCAAGCTTTTATTTAGCAGTCCTTGTAGCTAGGTGAAGTGCTTACTGTCTCCCAGACAGAATAAGTGCATTGATTATATATCTCAAAAGAGTCAATTTACTTCTAATTCTTTCTCATTTTAATAAATAGTGATCACATGTCTCTTTTGAGCTCAGTAGAACTTGAACATTTCATATGTTGACAATATTCTTGCTGTTACAGGCAGCTTTGCACATACTTAAAAATTCATTGAGGGAGATACTCTTTTGATCCTAAGTGCAAATGTTATCCAAAAAACTTCACAGAGATTGTACCATTATTTTATGCTTTCCAGCTTGCATTTCTGTGCAAGTCCTTAATTGAATATTTGCAAGAGGCAATTGCACTCTACCTCGCCCTTTGCTTCAGCCCTCTGGCCCCACCCCTTTTAAGGGGTGATCCCTTTGAAAGCATGGGGAAAGCTGGGCTTGCAGGGCTGTCTTCTCCCAGCTCTCTGCCAGAAATGAGATCCCTTTCCTCTGCAGTAAAATTCTGTCTGCACTGTAATATGTGACCGAAAATGTCGACTTTGTGTTCTTTACTGAAAGCATTAATAGAAAATCAGCTGACAGTAAACTTGAGTAAACGGTGCCATGCGGATATTGTCTAAAATTTAATCTTTGAGTTGCTTGTGTGTTGTTTTCTTTAACATAATTCCTCACAATAGCTTCATTGTTCTGTGGAAAACAGTAGATTTTGCTTTTGTTTGCCTCACAGTAGGGAGAAAGAACAGAATACGGAAGTAAGAAATCTGATTTTATTTTCCTCAGGGTTTTTTTTGTTTCTGTTTCACAACTGACTTAAATTCAGAGCAAATGTTCAGTAGGTGAGTCCTGACAGGTAGTGTCTATACCACCTGATTAAAACAGGTGAAGAACATAGAGAAAATTTACATTAAGTAATTTAGACTCAAAGGGAAAATGTTGTAACTCATAAAATTTTGAAGCAAGAGGCCGTTATGGTGATTTGCTAAATCTGGCTGTACAAATTTGGTGATGTGAGCTGAAGAGCTGACTACGTACACAGTTTCTTATAAAAGTATGAAAATGAAAATACAGAAAATGAATGTTAATGTGGCAAATGTATTTTTAATAACTTACTCTCTTAAAAGGATCATTAGTTAAGATCACCAGTTATTCTCAATGCCTGTGCCGTGTAAGACTCATATGGGGATCAACATGAACTGGTACTCCAGCACTGGGGGTTCACCACTGACTTGGGGTGACCACTACTTACCTTGACATGGCAGTGGCTTTTAAATAGTCCCTCAACAACTACTGATAAATAAAATTATATGTACCTGACTGGATAAAGTCCTGAGCAACCTGGTTGATTTTCCTAGCTGACCCTGCCTTGACCTCTGGAGATGCCTTCCAGCCTGGCTCCTCCCATGATCTTTTTGTGTATAAATGTGTGTGAGGGTGTAACCATGTAATGTTTATGGATTGTTTATAAAGAAGTGCTGGGTGATTTCAGATGTAGCTATAATAAACTTTCCCTCTGCTGGTTTTCTTTGCCCAGTCTGCCACTAAGAAACCACGGAAGTCTCCAGCGGACAAGGGGCGTTCCGACGCTGGAGCTCGAGGAGCGAGTCGTGGGAGAGCCAATGGCCACCCCCAGCAGAATGGAGAAGGGGACCCTGTCACTTTGTTTGAGGTGGTTAAGCTGGGAAAGAGTGCTATGCAGGTAAAATGGCTACTTGTGTTCTTCCTCACAATTTAGTGTATCCTGACTGGAGTCCAGTCTAAGCTGTGCTTTTGTAATCAGTAATATTTTCTCATGGCTGCCTCTGTCCAACAGACTGTGTACAATAAGGTACAGGACTGAGTGGGTTCTGACTGAGGGCTGTCATGTGTCCTGCTGAAGAACAAGAGACCTGGCAGAAAGTCATGTGTTTCAAATTCTCTGTTTGTTCATTACTCCTAAGTTAAAAATATATGTTGATATTAAGCAGTTCATTAAAGTATATCCTGTAGCAAGCTTTATATGGGCAAGAAGCGTATGAAAATAATGACAAATACAAGCCTTTTTTGTTCACTTGTTTTTTCAAGAATACCTGCTCACACAAGCAGTTTGGAGCCCTTTGCACTGGAACTTGCATTCCCACTGTCCCCATCAGGACAGCAGGTGAAGGCTAAACTATTTGCCTAGACTTCCAATGAGTCTTGAGGGAAAACATTGACACATCCTGGAGGCAAATTTTTCATTGTAAAATAAATTAAGATCGTCCTAGTTGCCTCTAGAAATGTTTCTTACCCTCTTATGTTTTGATCAGGTCAGAGGTCTTTACAGGATGTGTGAGGCCAGGTGAGTCACACCTCAAGACCCTGCAGAGGATTGATTTTGACAGTGCTGTGTGGTTTTAATAAGCTGCTGTGCTGCAGCTCTTGGTTTTGATACTCTAAGGAGAAACAATGGGCCCAAAACACTCTTCAGCCCATGCAGTCCAAAGCCAACAGTCATTCCTGCTCTGAAGGATTGTTTAAGCATTTACTTTGCATTTCAACAACACAGGACTTAGGCAGTATCAGTTAGTTTGTTTTGATGCTGACTAACATGAGAAAAGTACAGATTAGGAAAATTAGGTCTTAAGTCCCATTCTCAATATTACTTTTAGTGTAGCTAAAAGCTAAGCCTCTTTAAGTCCCAGAGGAATTAAAAATTACAAATGAGTGAAAGTTGTTGAAAATCTGTCTCTAATCTGTGGAAAGTCTGAGATGTAATTTGAAAGATGTAATACACAGGAAGGAAATGAGAATTTTTGTTCTTCATAGTTTCTATGTTTACGCTTATTTAGGATTGACCCTTCTTATCTAGTAGGTGAAGACAGAACAAATTTACTCCTAACAAAGCTACAGATTCCTTATGCCTTTTTTTTCTTACAACAGAGCTTCCAACTTTGTTTGGTTTTCAGCACTTTTTCAAATTTTGTTTTTGGCAGGAATTGAGGAAACATCTGGAGTCTATTTTCTGGTTTTACTGTGGTACAGAACATACAATATACTTGATGTAGTATAGTTGACTTAGAGTTATTGATATTTGCAGAAGCCAAATGGAAAGGAATGGGCTTTGATATTTGATGACTCCGTGTGTATGTGGAATTGACTTTTGATACATTTTATCTATTTCAAAAGACATGCTGACACAAGTCTGCTGTAGATTAAATGCAAAAAAATAAGTTGTCTGCATGTTTGTATTAAGAAACCTTTGGAATTCAGATACAAAGAAATTGTTTTGAGAAGTGGAGTGTATGTATATGTAGGTGGATGTGTGTCTGTATATTCCCATATACCTGTATCCACAAATCACCTGTGCATAGACACTCAAATGCTTAACATGTGCCCAGCCTGTAGGTAGGAGAAAAAGTACCCAGCACCAGATAAGCAAGGGAGAGATTATACACAAATAGTAAAGGGGTAGGCAAGAGTATTTGAAGGCCTGGAGTGCAAACAGGCATAAATGACTTGAGCCCTGGTTTCAGGAGTGTGCATGGCTTGGGCACCTTTGAACAATTCTCTGTTGCTAAAAATATTCTAAAGAATTAAAGGCACCCTATAGTAGGAAAGAGAATGCAATTAAAATATGATTTAATATTTTTTTAACTTGCACTTTTGGACAGTCATCTCATATGAAACCAGGGTTCTGTCAACCAAACTTATTAGTGCCTTTATACTTGTATTTTCCATAATAGCTTAGGGATTTTGATGTAACGATTAGGAATGCTTGGCATTTTTGTTTTTCATAGTTTTGATGCAGGTTTTTTTGTTCAATTTTAACAATTTTGTCAATGTTGCAGTTTTCAAACAAGTGGCATATATTTGCATTCGGCCAAACATATTCTCATTATTTAGTTCTTTCCCTGTAATATGCACATACTTTTTTTTCTAGTGCTCCTAAGTTTACTTCCAGCATGAAAAGCCAGGAAAATTCAATTAATACATTCTGAGATTACATGGAAATCATGTCATGTGCTTTCGTTTCTGATCTATCTGCTCCTGCTGTGTTCTCTCAGAATTTTTTTTTAGTTGTTAGATTTTTCTGGCTTTGTGATGCCAATTCATAAAAGTCTGTTGCTGAATTCAATTTTCACTTCTTCTAAGCTTCTCTATTTTGGTTTTCACAGCAGGGTTCATTTATTACTTCTCTTCAAGCTTACTGCTGCTTGCTTCTTCCAGGGAAATAAAATCAGTTTAAGTTTTTGTATTTCAACTATAACTCCAGGACTGCTCTTTGCATAAAATCTTTGCCTCTGTGACGAGGTGCTGCTTATGTCTTGCTGGAACTCTGTAAATCTATTTGATGCCCATGTTAAGTTGGTATCAGATGGTTGTCAGTGTTTTTCATTTGCTCTGTAACCTTTTGTACAGTTAGTGCTTCAGAAGCTGTTCTGTCAGCAGCTCTCTGTGTATGAAGTGTGACGTGACCTTCTGCTCGTGCTTTCTGCAGGTACATTTTCAAGTGTTACTTCTTTAAAACTATATATAGAACTTCTTCAGTGGTTTTTGTTTTTGTAGTCAAACATTATACTCTTCTGCTTTTTGTCATTTATCTCTTCCATATATTTATTTTTTAGTTATATCATTTTATGGTGACAGCTATATCCTGTACATTTCCCTACTCTGAACTTCCAGAGACAGAAGTGTGTCAGCATTTCTTGTGCTCAGCTGTCCAGTGGTGGAAATGAAGGCTTGGGTGAGCCTCTGCTCTTCCAGCTGAGCTTTTAGGTAGCTAAAATCTTCAGACATCTCTGACCCTGCTGTAAAGATCACAGGGAGCTAAAGAACTTTACTTCTGAGATCAGATTTTGTTTAGGACTCAGACCACAAATTTCTCATGAGTTAGTTATGACCAGTTATCTGTAATGAAGTTTGTACTACTGGGGTCAAACCAAGCATAAAAGTGTTCTGCTTTCGTGTCTGCAAAGTGGTTTTGTTCTCCCAGAACATCAGAGAGAATAGATCATCAGTAATTCTGGAAGGCATTCAGTACCAAAACATGAACAGATCTGTGCCTTGATGACTCTGTAATATTCCATGCATTACCAGTCACCCTTCATTGGTGTTAGCAGTTCACTACAGAGTAGAGGCTGATTTTGAGGAAAAAACTTTTAAAAATTGCCACCTCTGCTTATGCTCAGCTAATAAAAGATGATCTTGTGTTGATTAGACATAGTTCAGGATAAATATGGCTCCATTATATGCCAGCAAATATTTTAAGATAAGTATCCAAGTTAGTGTGTTGTAATGGTATTTTTCATTGTGCCACCAGTTCTTCCTTGTCTCTCCAGAAATCGAGGATGCACAGGGTTTCTCACTGTTCTTACCTGCACATCTTGGGACACGGGGATTTGTGTCCTTTAAGGTCCCCTCCCTGTCCAAGTAAAGCTGTATTTATAGCACTGCTTACCCTGCCTTGAGAAGGCCATGTCTGGCAGTAGGTCACACTTACTCCTGATTAGTGACTATATGTCCATATTTACCTTGTGCAGGAGGAATTACATGTGCTTTTACATAGATCCTTGAGATTAAGAACATCAGAGTAGCCATAACTGGATTGCACCAAAAATCCAACAGCCTATCTCTGACAGTGGTAGTTAAGAGAGGCAATAAGGTGGCAAAAAATGAATTTTGGATATTCTCCCTTCCTCTGAGTGTTTGCAGCTCAGGGCCACTGTGGTGTCTGTATTCTCAGTGGCCTTAATGGCTCCCTCTTCTCTGAGTTTCTTTTCTCCCTTTAGAAGTGTTTTTTGCCAGATCACATTGTGTCTCCCTCAGCTATTTCTGAAAACGAAGGTCTTTGAAGATTGAAGATGTACAGACATGGATTAAATGCTACCCATGCTTTTTGTGTTCAAGGCATGTTTTAGTTTAATCGTTGTTTATTGTATTTTGACTGCTGTATCCTCCACCTTGAAGGATGGGTGATAACTTAGGGTCTCCCAGATTGTCCCAGAAACTCCTTAGGAGTTTGAGTATGCAGTCTCTAAAGTTTACTGGGAAAATGACTGCATCTAATATTAATATTTAAACTAGTATTTTCATTTTACTAGGCAGATTTCTTCTATGACCTAATCTTGCTTTGGTTTTGATTGTATGGTACTGAATTAAAAGAAAAAAATCAAAACTAGGTACACGTTCTTATAGTTGTTACACTGGGAACAATTTAGCCACCAAATGAAGCATTAATTAATTAGAGGAGTATCCCTTAATACCAAATGAATTTTTCTGCAGTCCTCACACAAGGCTTCTTTTCCCTTGTGATTTAATAATCTGTGAGATGATTTTGCTGTTAATGTGAACACAAGTGGCAGTAGTACAGTGTCTGAAGGCATTTGTACCTGAAAATACTCATTATACTTGAAGGCAGACAAGTCTTTTGCTCTCTAGAATGCTGATGTTTTTTGAAGTGTCTGGGGTGATCTGTGAACCCTTTACAAACTGTACTAGCAAAGGAATGCAAATCACATGTTTTAATAAATTGATGGGTCTCTTACTGGAATAACTCCATTTTGTTTCAGCACTCCTCTAAATGTCTTTTCATTCTGGTGTCCAATGTTTTATGAGCAGTTTTGATGCTTTGTAGCATCATTCATGCCTGTGATTGGCTCAGCTTAAACAGACACAGCCCTTTGGAAATGGTGTAACATGTGAACTGTGAGAGATGAGCATCTGCAGAAGTTCTGTACC